AAATAGTAGAGACACAATGTATACAAACGTTGTAAACAAACCACTATAAAATAAAAAAAGGGAAAAAAAATTAAGGTGGATGTTAAGATTGTATTCTTTCTCCAGACCTACTCAGTCTGCAAGTTGAGCACATTATTTGATTGCTAGACTTGAGGAAGATTCATCAGTAACCTTTGGTATGTAAATGACACAGCCTTGCCTGCTGAAAGTGAAGAGGACTTGAAACACTTTTTGCAGAGAGATTGAGATTGTTCACAGCTTCAGTTTGCTCGGCTCCATGGTCAACACTCTTGGCACCAGTAGCCAGGAAATAAAAAAACGTATTGCGATGGGAAAGTCTGCGGTTAGGGACCTCTTTAAAGTACTCAAGAGCAACAGTGTCTCTCTGGAGACTAAAGTGCGCCTGATACAGGCCATGGTCTTTGCAATCACTTGTTATGCATCAGAGAGTTGGACAATGACTAGGGAGGATAGAAGGAGAATTGACGCCTTTGAGCTGTGGTGCTGGAGAAGAGTACTGAATGTACCATGGACTGCCAAAAAAACAAATAGATTCATCCTAGAGAGGGTTAAACCAGGCTGCTCCTTGGAGGCAAGGATTCTGGGGCTTTGCCCAACATACTTTGGACATGTTGTAAGGAGAGACAGGTCTTTGGAGAGGGACATCATGCTGGGCAGAGTGGAGGGACAGCGCAGGAGGGGAAGACCCTCTATGAGGTGGATTGATTCAGTGACTGGGGTAATCGGGATGGGTGTGTCGGAGGCAATGAGATTGGCACAGGATAGAGCAGGGTTTAGGGCTGTTGTACATAGGGTCGCTATGAGTCGCAAGCGACTCGACGGCACATAACAACAACAACAACATCAAACACTACAGCTTTCAATATGGATTTCATCACAACATCAAGAAAACAGTCTCACTACTGGACTGATAGGCAGCATCATGATAGATGGAGAAAAGTTGAAATTGTCAATGACCTCATCTTACTGTATCCATAGTCAGAACACTATGAACACAGTACCAGCAGTCAGGAGATCAGAAGATGTATTTCACTGGGAAAGTCTGTTGCCAGACACCTTTTCAAAGTACTTAGGATCAATGATGTTAGTTTGAGAACTAAGGTACGCTTGATTCAGACAATGGTCTTTTCACTCACAGTGCATCTGAAAACTGGAGAGTGAATAAAGATGACAGAAGAATTGATGCCTTTGAGCCACAGTGTTGGAGAAAGGTACTGAATATCCCCATGGACTGCAAAAATACCAAACAGATATGTCTTGGAGAAAGTTAAGCCTCCTTGGAGTGCTCCTTAGTGAAGTACTCCTTGGAGACAAGTATGGTGAAGCTTTGTCTCACATACTTTGTCCACATTACGAGGAGAATTCCTCGAAAGACATCATACTTCAAAAGGTGGATGGATGATGACGGTGAAGCCAGGGGTGATGGTGTGGATTGAAACAGTGATTGTAGCAATAGGCTCACGTGTGTCAGAGATGTGAGGATGGCATAGGATAGAACAGGGTTCAGATCTGTTTTTCATAGGCTTGTTATGAGCTGGACTCAGCTCAGCAGCACCTAACAGCAACAACAACATCCAAAATAGCGTAGTTTTAAATTTTTTTAAAAAATATAGTCAGTATAAAGCAATGTGAAATATTTGACGCAGTTTGGTATGAAGTTTTATGATAGTGTGTATTTTATATTTGTAGCACATCTCAGTTAAACTTTACAGGTTTCTCATTAGCTATATATGGCTGATGGCTTCCCTACTGGCTCACATACTTAATAAATTATGATTAGGTGACTAGCTTTTTATAGTCAGTAGTTGAATCCTCACTTCCATGTGGGAGACTTAAGATTCAGTTCCTGGACAGTACATATCATGCACAGCCATCACCTATCTGTTCGTGCTGTCTTGCATGTTGTGATATTGAACATGTTTCAGTGAAGCTTTCTAAGATGGACTAGGAAAAAAGGCTTCACAATCTACTTTGGAGAACTCACCTGGTGTCCCTATGGCTGATGTTACCTAGTTTCACCATGGTTTCACGTGCCTCCCTTGTACCCCAGGTTGGCCTGCCAGTACCCCGTGATGTCTGGAGTGGTCTGGCTTCATGCCTTTTAGCCCCATCCTCTGCAGCTCTCTGCAGCCAGCTCCTTTCCCTTTCCCCTATGACAGGTTTAACAGTCTGCTTGCACCCTAACAGGAGACTGGGAATGGTGTCAGTGATGAGCTCCCTCACTGGGTGACTGATGATGCAACCCTACTCATGCCACTGCCTTGATAGTCCTGTGGCCCCAGCTTGGCCTCTGCTGTCAATTGCATTAAGATAATTTTGGTATCATTCCTTCTTCCCCAACCGCAGTATCACAGTGTGGCCCACACACCTGCACTCCTAGTGACCCTCGTGGAACGTGGAGGTGGTGCACGACCTGACATGCTTTATTCTGCCCTGCATGGTGCTGCCATGAGTCAGGGCCAGTTGTGTTTGCACCAATTCCTTTTATTTATTAAAGCATATATAGTGGCATCAGTAAGATCATGTATCTTTATGATGTTAGATTGTAAATCTTCCTATTCTGTACTGGAATCAGTGTTCAGAGCTAGGCAGGTGAAGAGGGAAAGGCTAAATATTCTTGTTTTTCTTAATTTTCTTTATTCTATAATTCATTTTGTCCTTGAAAGAATGAAATCACCTTGAAGATTCTTTTCAGATGTGGCAGGCTTCCAGATGCTGCTTTTAAAAGAGAGGTACTTGGTTTATAAATTTTAAACCAAGCAAGATAATCATTATTACTTAAAGCAACATTTACTTGTGGCAAATAAAAAGAATTTCATTATTCCTAACTTTTATGAAATGTTCTTATTAATATGTATTTTTTAAAATTTTATTATTATTTTTGTGTGTCTTTGTACTGTCAAATCAGATCTGACTGGTACAGGAGGAGATTGTCCCTCCTTTCCCGGCAGAGCATCTGGCGGATTTGAACCATGCGTCTCTGGGATTGCAGTGCAACTTCTTGCCACTAGGCCACCAGAGCTCCCCTTAATATGTATATTTTAAAGATTTCAGATGTGTATATCTATAAGACAGATATTTTTTATTTTCTCTTGTTCTTAAATTATGTCAAATGGTTCTTAATTTTACATAGACAAAATCCTGAACAAAAGCACTCATATAATCCAATGTATTCTGTTAAGACTTTGCTATTTTCAATTACTAATAAATGGGATCTAAGCCCTTATTACTAGTAGAGTATTTGTGGAGTGCTTTCAGTTTTGCATACTTTATCCAACACTTAGAGAAACCTGGTTTTGTAGGTAGTAGTATTCTCATTCCATAGGAAGGAAAGTAAACTTGGAAAGGTTTAATTGAATAACCCAAGGAGTTATTAATTGGTAAATATAAGTCCCAAATCTTTTTGTTGTACAGCACACTGTCATCCTACTTTCCCGAGTAAATAATTACCATTAAGTTGGAGAAGACAGAACCTCTACATTTCTAATAATAGTCCCAAATATCTTGATATATGTGACTTGAATGTCTCAATATTATACACCATACTGATGCTGATGATGCCTATTTGGATTCTGCCATCTTATATATTCTCGTTGTTACATGCTCTTGAGTCAGAACTGACTCAGATCTCACCCACCAGCATGGGAGGAGATTATCCATCTTTCTCCTGCATAGCAAGCTGCTGGATTCAAGCCACCTGCTCCTTTGGGTTGGCAATGCAACTCCTTATCCAATATATCACCAGAGCTCTTTAATATATATATATATATCGGGGAAAAATATATGTATAGGGATATATATGTATGAAATATATGGAATAAATATTTTATATATCTTTTATAGAGAAAGTTAAAAATTGTTAAAGCCTGATACTGTTGTGTTTGACGATAATACAAAATGATTCCGTACAAACTACTTCTGAATAATTTTTTCTTTTATTTTAATAAT